CCGCACTGGCAAGTATCAGGCTTGTGAAAAATGCGTGAATTACTAATTAATGAGGCATTCTCGCAACATTTACATATTCATAAAGGTGTGTAATTCACATATGCATGAGAGGGCTCAGTGATGGCTTTGAGAGAATAACACATATTTCAAAAAGAAACCTTTATTTGGATAAATTCTTCAAAAAAGCAGAGAGCAGAGATGCAAGAAAAACCATTACACATTTATTCTTCACACATTCAAATGCTTTAAGAGACAAATGCACTGAAAAGAAGTGATGAGATGTAGCATTTAGCAAAAATACATTCTTAAAAATATGAATTTCCAAAATGTTTAAATTTTACAAACATAATTACATTTTAACATTTGAACAAAATATTATACAATAGTTATTTTTTATGCCAATATTAAATATATACAAAACATTTTTACAATCTTATAATTTATGCGTTTATTCTCTGAGAATGTTTTTCTTTTGTTTTTTGTTCTATTTTACAAATAATAGAACTCCTAGGATAATTTCGCCTTATTTTTTTCTTCACTGGTTGAGTTCACCAATAGCTGTTCGATGATGTCAGCCTTTTGGGGAACAAACAATTTCAGTGAAGCAGGTCCAAGATGGTTTGGCTGATGCTAAGGCCTGTCCCTCTTCTAAGAGGGCCTCCCCATTGTTTCAACCCTCTCACTAGGGCTTTGTGAGAGCAGTGCTGAATATGGGTCAAAAAGCACAAATAACATTCAGATGGTTCCTAGGCTTTGCTCCCAACTATGCTCCAAAGAATGACAAGTAGAACAAAACCATGTTGAGTTTTTCACCCTATGCAATTGTCTTTTCACATTAACTCCAAGCTGGGTCCTTTCAGGAAGGCCAGAGTTGTGTCATGCTTACTCGGACATAGACCAAGTCTAACAGCGGGCTTGGCCTGTCCAAAACACCATGCAGAGTCTGATTCACTCCTTTATTCCTGTACGAAAATGGCTTTTGGATGCATTGTACTAAATATCTAAAAAAAAGAAAAAAAAAAGAAAAGACAGACTAAAAGAATCAAGCAAGAATGGGTGCCTTTGGCCAAAATTGTTCATTTAGTTCCAAGTAAAAATCTTTGTCCTCTAGGGAACTGTTTCCATCAGGACCTCAAAGTAGAGAAGGGAAATTTCCCATGGCTCCAACTAATACAGCATATAAAACAATGATAGCAAAAGGAAAAGTCAAAGGTTAATTTTCACAGACATTTAAAAACAAAATAAAAATATTGCAGGGACATTTTTCAGATGGTAAACGGCACACAGATTTATTCAAATGTCCATTGAAGACACAATAATGGTTAGCAAAAAAGGATGGTACTTCAAGATACCTAAGTTTGACTTTAACCTTGCAGGACTTTTGGAAGGCACTTCTGAGCATCAGGCACAGCGTTTTGGCAGCTGCACAGGGAGCCTGGTGGGTCAGCCTTTCTCTGCGAGCTGCTACTCCACACTAATCTATTTTAAACCATCTGTGAAATTAGCAAGATTTCCTAAGTCCTTCACCTCTAAGGATTAAAACATTGCTGAGAGTGTTCTTACATACTGTTCTTGTACACACGTTTGACGAGAACTTGCGATCAGTCAAAATATGGTGTCTTTCACTTGTGCTTGAAATAAAATAAATAAATAAATAAAAAACTCCAGATGAGATTGTTTCACAAGTACAGAAAAGAATGTTTTAGAACATTGATCTAACACCGTCTTTTAGCATAAACCCGAACATTAGGAAAATAGAGAGAAGTTGTTACATGTTTGGACATCCAGTAACATCAGAGCATCCAACCCTCAGCTGTTTTACAGAGACATACCGAGGTATGCAGCACCTCTGCCAAAGCCTGTACAATAAAGTCATGAGTCAACTTTAATGGGAAAATCAGATAAATAGCAGCTGTTCTTGGGGAAATGGTGCTGCCTGACAGATTCACTGGGTGCAACGACTGTAGCGTCGAGCAGATCCAAATGAGTAAAATATTGTTCCAAGCGCTTCTCTCGGCTCCCCTATCTCTCTGGTGTTTAGTCATCAGGGTTGTGAAATAGCAGCCCTGCCGCTATACGACAGCGTGGCTGTATTAATTATTCTGTGCAGTTCACACATGCACATCTTTGTTCAGCAGTGACAGTTCATCCAAAGAGGCCACTTACAAACGGCAAGATCACCAGGCCTCCGATTATTCCTCAAACCGCTTATTTAAAATTCACATATGCAGTGAAAAGCAAATAGAGTGCAAGAAATTTTTAAATGGAAGAATAGAAGATAACAAATGCTGCCCACTGGCGTACACCGTAATATGCGAAGCAAAGAGATTTTCTCCATGTCATTAAATACGCAAGATTGAAAAATTACAAAGCAGTTTATTATGCAAAGAGTTGTATCTCTTCCACTAGAATTGCAACATCTGTTAAAGAAACTTAAATTTTTGTGAAGCAGGAAAAAGTAAAGGCCCAAATGATAAAATCTGTAAATGATTAAAAAATATGTGGACATTGTAGATTTTTCTTTCTTTCTTTTTAAAAATTGTCCAAAAACAAGAAACTGGGAAAAATATATGCTGATTTGAACTAAGTTATGTAAAATGTTCTAACCCTTCTGTCAAGAAGTACGCAGCATGTACAGTAGACCTCATTGTTATTGACATAATAATGACCCTTATCTGCCAGGATGACTTCTGGCTCTATTAAGCACTCAACACACACCTGCCTTGTAAAAGCACAGTCACAAACAGATCTTTCTGGTTTCGCCTTTTATTAGGTCAAAAATCATCAGATCATGCAGATCGGCAACATCTTTGTCAAAGCAAAGCAAAAAAGAATGTTTTCACTTTTCAGAAAGACTAAGGATTGACCTTAGTCCAGGATCTGAACAATTATTTCAGTGCTGTGAAATAATTGTTGATGAATTGCAATGCATTTGTGCCTTACATAATCTCAAAAGCATATTTTAGCTCAGGAGGAGTTATGATTTAGAGCTGGGAGTAAAGTAATCACTCAACTGCCTTGCAGAAGTATTTGCTATCTTGGATACTTTTTTATATTTTGCCACGATCAAAACAAACTTGAATATGTTTTGGAGAATGTTTTGTGAATGAATGTTTTGCATAGTTGTAAAGGACAATTCTGCATGATTTTTATTTTTGTTCAACCAGTAGTGTTCAGGTTCTTTATGTATATTCAGGGGCTTTTTCATCCACATGCAACCTATTGCTCCCAGAAGTTTATAATTTCATCTTTATATATAGACAGCTAAAGAATCATATGAAGACCTATCAACAAAGCAGACAGGCATTTCACAGAGCCATAATTAATTATAATCTGAAAATAAGAGTTTGGCCTCACTAACTCCTCCAATGTCAGAGTTGTTGCCTCAGCGAGTGTCCAGTTCATATTCTGCTTGAACTGGTGGTAGCCATCAGGTGCTTCCGCAATCTCACAGACCAGAAACATTCAATAGGACTCCTTCTTCAGCTTGATAGGATCCCTTATCACCAGTCCCTACCAGCGGGTTTAAGGATTGCCACAATGATGGACAAAAACCACTTTGTGACCACAGCTCTGGTCACCTGACCAATGGAACATGGCCCACCAGAATTTAATGTTCCTCACTTCCCCCGGGACGTGTACAAGCCTCTGCTGGAAGAGTTGTTGATCAATCAGATGGGAGACTCTGCCATATGTGCCTGGCACATCCCTCACAATATGTTTGAGCTGCAAAGTCTGACCAGAATCCTCCCCCACCATCTGAACCTATTAAACAACAGGTAGTGGTCATTTGGCAGTTCTGACTTGCGTTCTGTGCAAGGGAACATTGTTTCCATACATATAATTCATCATAAGGGGTCCTTGAGCTGCACTTTGTTTGAGCTAAGACCTTATCACCTTAAGTGAGCCTAATAGGGTTCAGTGGCATAGTTGGTAGAACTTTTTCCTTGTAGCAAGAAGGTTTTAGGTCAAGTCCCGGTTGGAGTTTGCATATTCTCGCTGTACATACATGTGCTCTCTCTGGCCAACTCCTATAAAGTCCAAATACATGTATCCTGGGTGTGGATCCTGACATGGGTCTTTCTGTATGGAGTAAAACAAAATTTTTGTCAACATTTTTATTGACAAAAATATTTTTATCTTGACAAACACTAAATGAAACCTCATTCTGAAAGAAAACAACTGTAAGATGAATTGACATTTCTGTCAACTAACTAATGAAAGTGAGTGGAAACCTGTTAATATTTGATAAGATATTGGTACTGTAGGATAAGATATTGTTCTGGTAGAACACGCCTAATGACAATATTGTACCCATTTTTATTAATCTAATCCTCGGATGGTTGCATTACTCATATAATTTTACTAGAATAATATTTGATTAAATGAACGATGTGTGCATTATGCATAGAATGTACAGCCTATTAGAATATTGTTCTTCAAATTTGGAGAGAAATGTAAATAAAATTGTTTGACCAAGCAATATTCCACTTATGTGTAAAGAAGTTATCTTTCTTAAGGACATAAGAGCAACTAAGAACACATTTATATCTAACTATATAGTTTTGTTATTTAAATTTACTATAAATTTAGTCGACTATATTATGGTGTGATCTGCTAAGAAAAACAAATAGACTAATACTAAAATGTCAACAGATGACTCAGTGGTAAATGAAACAAAATTAACGTAAATGAAAAGGTAACAACTAAAACTTAATTGAAATGTGCTGTCAAAAGCAACACTCCTCCACTGAGTCCTTCTTCATGCAATAATAAATACCATCTCATGAAATGGTAAAGAGGATACATAAATGTTATTTCATTTTGTTTTGCACACTTGTACAAGAAGGTGCCAACTTAAAGGGATTTATTGTGGCTGAATGCAATATTTTCTCTTTCATTTTATGTCTTTGAAGTTACTTTTCACATTAAATGGTAAGAAACAACAGTTTCTTTAAATAAAATAAAGGCTATATTAAAATAAAGAAATCACAAAAAAATAAAGAAATATTTTTTTTTTATTGACGTGGGTTTTATGTAATTAATCCTTCAGTTACATTTTCCCGACAGACCTTCATGCTGTTTGCTCTTCTGCAGACTGTAAAGAGTGTTATTGGAAAAAAAAGACTCAAGTTTTTAAAACAAAATGTCTCTTTAATCGGTAAGTGTCAACAGCAGTACAAAAGATGGAGTGATGTGTGAACCTTTCTGCAACACAATGTTTGTCTCCTTTACAGAAAACAAGGAAATTCTTGAGGTAAATAAGCTAAAACCGGCAGTTTCTTCAGCCCACTGCTCCATTCGTACAATAGACCAACGCATTATTTAAAATGCTGTTTTATAATCGGTCTGAAGTCATCATGTGGGCATAATTTAATAATTTACAGTAAACACACTTCCGTGGTGCTAAGATGCGCCGGTGTGTGTCAATCATTGGTTTGTTTTTACTTTTTATAGTGTATTAATGCAACCGAAGCTGAGGATGCAGTTCTCCATACACACACACTCACACACACAACAATGTAAAATTATTCACCTTAAGTTTACCTCACGTCAATACTGCACATGAAAACCAAAGAATGCTGGTGTACACTTTGAAGCCAAGTAAAACAAAAAAAAAAAACATAAAAAAAATGAACATTTTCTTTTTTTTTTGTTTTCATCAAGCAATAATACACCCTTGCAAGTAATTGACCTCTTCTGTTTTGTATAAAGAAGAATGTGAACACAAATGTGATGGCAACATCGTTTTTAAGTTGAATTAAAAACTTTACATTGGACTGTACAAGATATTATGATAAACTATTTACATATTCAGACATTTTTTTTTTTTTAAGCAGCAACAGACACTATGTATTTCCTGTTCTCTAATGACACCCAAACAATACTTGCCATGGGGTAACAGGTACCTCCAAGGAGAGGAAATAATCGAAAGGATTCTGCACAGAAAATCGTTTCAGGCTGCCAGCATTTTGTCAAAACAGCGGCTCCAGTCATAGAAGAGCCCCACACAGTGTTGCTTGAAAAGACAACTCTTAAGAGCAGAGTACCAAGGGCAGCTTAAAATGTTGCCCCAGATGGCACATTTTTATACTTTCTGAACAGCAGCGAGCATGTCAGTCCAGCATGTCAGTGAATTGTGCTGATTAAATTAACACAGAGAACATTCCCACCATTTACATCACAAAGTTTAGACAAACAAAAAAAAAAAAAAAAAAAAGATAAATCAAATTACAGTAATATTCAAACAGCATGGAATCCTTTGTCTTCAGTTCCTCCAAACTATTTTCCATGTATTGCAGGAGAAAAAATTGAGACCAATTGGGAGAACCTGGGTAGTCTGACATTTTTGTTGAAAACTGACAGCATATGTAAAGTTGGCGATACACCTAATATCTGTGCATTTTACAATGTTAAGAGAAATAAATACTTGAGCCTTCCCACCATTGAAAGGATAAAACATCTTGTGTTTGAAACTGCTTTTTGAAACAATACAAATGTGTACCTTTTGTTATTTTCATGACAATGCAAGTCCAATGCATGCAGATATCTTCAAATAGTCTGAGCTTCATACTGAACTGAATGGTTAATCGCTAAAATAAACAAATAATAATAATTAAAAAACTAAGCAAGGAAATACAGCATAAAGATGAGATTGTATCAGACATTTATGATTGGAAACAAATGGGTGTATAATAAATTTTCTACATTAAGTGCTTATTTGACTCAGTACCTTTTTTCCTTATAAGTCTGATAAGGTAAAGTTGTATTCGTGCTTTTAATAGGCAAGAAAAACCTATGATTCACTCTGTATTGGGACCAAACTTCCAATTAGCAGAAAAGTTCATCATCCACATGAGGTACAGCCATTTGTCTGCTGTTGGGACAAACAGCGGGAAAGAGGAAATAAAACAGCCAAATACATAACCTATACCAATGAACAAAAATATTCATTGCTTATATTTACAATAAATCTTAACAAGTTGGTGAATCCACAGATTTTTAAAAAAATTTTTTTATCTCAGATTATTATTTTTTGTGATTGTCCTTGGTTTTGTTGTTTACTGTCAATTTTAGAGCCAGCAGAGGCTAATAATAAATACAGTATGTTGATACACTTTCGTATCAAACACAATATACAATGCACTGACATCTTGCTTCACAGCTCTCTCTGAGCCTGCTGCCAAGTCTTTTGCTCACATTTTTGTGCTGAGTCTTTTTAATAGCTGTGATTTAAACAAAGCGTTCTTTCATCGCTCGTGTCTTTGCATAAATACAGAAAATAAGTAGACAAAAAACTGAACGTAAAAATGACCCAAATCTGGCAAGTGTGACAATAAACCCGCTTGAGTCAGGCTGGGGAATCCTGTTCATCCATGGTGTTCTTCGTCAAACAACTTCACATTAATCAGAATTGCTAAAAAATATGATTTATATCCAGTGCTTATAACACATTGTCTCTTTGTGAGCTTGTGTTGTCCTTTTTTTTTCTTCTTCTTTTTTTTAAGAGTTTTTGCTGTATAAGCACAGTCAAGTGTCAATTTTTTGAAGAGTCCTAACACCAACCAACTGAAGTAGCTTGGCATGGTCATAAAATTATTTACAATCACATACAAATCAGTCTAAACACCAGCAAACAGGAGGAAACACCTTAAAAATACCAAACTGGTTGACTTGGAGGGAGAAGGTTTGACTTGTAGGACAGCATCCATTGATTGCTTTTTGATGTTTAACAATTATAAAATGTAAAAAAAGAAAAAACAAAAATGCAACAAAAAAATAAAATGGAGAATAACAAAAACTGATTAAAGAAAACACAAATAAATTTCATATGAATGTTTGTAAAAGTTTATGTAATGCAAATAAGAAGTGCTAAAGAGCAAGGCGTAGCCAGCCACCTGTACCAATTAGAGGCAGGAGAAAGATGCAGTGACCAGCAGTGGGGGATCTTGACCATTTAAATCCAGTGACCATCTATTCAGTTTCTTCAAAAAGCTCTGCGCTCTCACTGAAATGGACAGATTCAAGGGCAAGGGAGGGGAATAACTGGACTCATGCATTAATAATGCTGCATTTCAGACGATACTCACTCGTCAGTCATTTTAATAATCCCCCACAGCTTGATGTACTTGTTCCATCTGCTCGCCAGTGCCTGGTGATACGGCCAGGGTGGAAGCCCTGTTGAGGCCTTACTTTCAGCACTTTGATGGAGAGCACAATGAGGGACACACACCCAGTTTTATTGTTTCCCCACTCCTTCCTGCTGCTTTCCCTTTCTCCAAGCCAGATGGTGCCCCCCTGAGTGCTGAGATTGGCGAAGGCTGGGGTCAGAAACACACGTGGCTGAGAGGACAGTCGCTTAGACCTTCTGCTCTAGACTGCTCCGTAACATCACCCCCCTCTCCAATCCCCTTAAATGTCTTCGACAGGCGGAAGGGTGCATGAATTTTTTTTTCTTTTAGTTCAGTTCAACTTATATCATACAAGTTTCTTCAAAGAGTAGTTGTAGATGGCAATGAGTGTTTCAGAGTATGTTGCATTTAAGAGATATAAGAAGTTCTACAACACAGCTTGCAGCTGGCAGAGGCCTTATGTAATTGCATTATAAAAGAAACAAGAAATCAAGTCAATTTTGTGAGATGCACGGAAGTGGAGAAACAAACACGACGTCAAGCTCTTCTTGTTGAGGGACTTCCTAACACTCCTTTCACTACGACTTTAGTAATCATTCCACTGCAGCAACAAGATGATCGCCCTGCTTTAAGACTTCTTAGTGTCTGTTTAAGATTTACAATGTCTGAAAAAATTACATTTTAAGACCCAAGACTTTAAACATGCAATCCAAATAGGGCTAAAGTGTTTAATAGAATGTACTGTGGCTTTGCAGCCACACATTGTACAACATCAATTTAAGATTGTAATGCCACCAAAGCTGCCTTTCACTTCTGTTCCAATCCTGCAGATTGGGGGACTTTGGCCCTTTAGAATTCTGGCCTGATTACAATCACCGATTAAGATCCTGGTGATTCAGACAGGGTGGAAGAGCTGAAACTGAGTGAAGGATTCCACAATGCTCTGTACGGACTGGGAGTAGGAATATAAAAGGGGTTGCTCTCGACGCTGATGCCCACTGCATTGATCTCTGTGGAGTATAGCTACGGTCACCTTCCACTCACAGGTGTAACTTACTTCCTGCAGAACTTGCTGCCTCCAAGTTCCTGAGTTTCATTTGTCCTTTTCTGGTAGAGCAAAGAAATCCTGTACAATGAAGCTGCATTAAGAGATGAAGAGATTGTCTTCAGAACCTCTCATGGAAAAAACATAAAATGTTTGGCACTTTCACACAGAATTATGCAGCAAAAACTAATAATAACAATAATAATTAATAATAATAATGTGACTAAACTGGAATCCCTCCGTATTGTGTTTTGATATTATTTTTTCTCTTTGTTAAAAACATTCACAAGCTGTTGGCTGGCACACTATACCTGAGTGAGGATATTTTCCCATCTTGAACAGTTAGGTGACGTAACAAAATCATATAATAATAAATGAAAACAATGTGACTTTAAGTATTTTAGGTTCATACCAAATGTTTAGCTTCAAGTTCTGTCTTTGCTTTAGGCAACAAACTAACTGTAACCATCTATGATCTTTAATGAAAAAACAAACAATGAAAAAAAAATTATATAAATTACCACAAAATAAATTGTTTCACAAACTTGAAGAAATAATTAAGACCAAATAGCTTTCGACTGATGAAGCCATAGCTGCATGCAGGCTTCTACATGATACATATTATTTTTCTTTTAAAATGTTTCTCCAACCCATGTGGTAAAAGTTTTTGTTGTTCTTTTTGCTCCTTCCCTCCCTCACATCAGAACAGCCCTTTGGGCTTCCTCCTGTGTGAATGCTGTCTCTGCATCAGTAAAATGCGTCTCAGTTGGCGCTGACCGGCTCCTGTGTGTCATTCTCACTGCTATAGTCTGATTTGGGCTCGTCCTCGAAGTCTTCGTACATGTCCATCTCATCCTCGCCGTTGACCGGCTCGCTGTTGTTCACCATGGCACTGGGCTCCAGCTTCATGTTGTAAGTACTCTGAATGACGGGAATGGACGGCTCAGGGCTGACTGAGGCGCTGGAGCACTCTGACGTCATCTGAGGTGAGGGTGTGGTGTTTGCCATGGTGAGGCCTCCTGGGTAGACCATACTAGTGCTGGTGGTGATGGGAATCTGAGGTGGTTGGCTGGACAAACAAAAAAACAGGGCAAAAATGATTGAAAATCTTATTCCCAATACTTTAAACAAAGAATGTTTTCGCCTTCTTCTGCAGCACTAAAATGTGATGGTTGGACTTGGGGCTTCCCCCAGCAACTTCTGTGAAAATGATTTGGGAGAAGAGAGGTTCTCCTGACAGCTCCTGTTCTGCACTGTTCAGACAGAGGACCCAGTTTATTGGTGACATAAAACCAATACCCTCTCAGTGCTGCTCTTGTCTGCTGTTGCACAGCATGATTGATTCCCCAAGCTGCTGAATGTTATGACTGACATGGGAACACCTGGGGAAGGGTTCTCCTGCTAACCACACACAGTAAATTAAAGTGTTAAGCCTCGGCTGCCCTCCAGGCTTCCCTAAGTGTATACTTACAGCTTATATATCCTATAATAATCTCTGCACTGCAAGCTGCATTTGAAGACTGATTTTGTGAAAAATTATTAAATCCCACCTATTGAAAAAGGTTTGAGTTTAAGATGCATGGTGCGTCTTAAAACCAATACAGCACAGATGAACTCAACACTCAATTTGGAAATGTGCCTTGGTGTGACTGAAGGCTACTTTTTATTTGCCGTTTGTGTGGACGTACCCCACAGTGAAGAACTGTCTCATCTCTTGTCGCCGTGAGCGCATCATCTGCTTGTACTCTCCAATACGAAGCTTTTTGCCGTCTATAATACAGGTCCTCTTAGGTCGTGGCTTGTACTTGTAGTTTGGATACTTCTCTAGGTGAAGCTTACTCAGGCGAGCTTGCTCTTCGTAGTACGGCTGCTTGTCCTGGTTAGACATAGCCTTCCACCGAGAACCTGTGGCAAAAGGAAAAAAAAATTCAGTGCTTGGAAAAGTTGAAACGATGGTTAAAATTTCACGAAGTGACTCAAAAATCGGAGAAGGAAGCTCATGTCTGTCCGACGCAGTGTACCCAACAATCAGGGATTCAGGAAAGTTTCTAGATAGCAGTGTAGCAAGTCAATTTATGTGTAAAATTATATCAAAGAAAGCCACTAAAACATTTAATTCACAGTTTCTCAAAGAAACAGAGGCATTCCTTTTATTGCGGCAACATAATGTCACACTTGGAATATTTCCAAAAATCAAATAGATTTTTAGAACATATTGTAGTACTTAGTACTCATGAGGAAGCATGTCTCAATCGTGTGCCAATTGATTAATTTATTTAACCCTCCAGATCTAAATGTGAAGCAACAGTTTTCTTCATCCGTCACTCAATATAACATTTCTGTCACACAGACATTTTTGTCTGTGTGACAGAAATGTCTTTCTCTTCATAAGTCAGAAAATGTTAAAAAGGACAAAAGGGACATCAGGGTTGTTAGAGTAGCACCTTATCAACTATTTAGTTTTAGGCTTTTCAAACATCTTTGCCAGTGATAGTGGAGGGTGCTATATTTTTTATATTGCAAGTTAGTGATCCTTAACCAGCTGAATAAAAAATGTAGTTTTATTTTATTCTGTCAAAGAAAATCATGCACCAAAATGCTTGACCATTTTAGAACAACCTCTTGATTAGTGTGGCAGCACATTATACTAAAAGAGAGACATGCTTACCCCTTACTGTCTAAAACTAAGGAACACAAGCCTGTGCAGTAAATACTACAGCTCCATGAAGTACACTACCCCGCCATGGATGACAGCACTTTTAACAGCTCTGATGTATGGACTCCTGTGCTGAGGGGACAAGACCCATTTAGTCTCTGTCATTTTTCATGACAAACACTTATGGTAGTGATGGGCCATAAATCCATCTGTATGCTGAGGTGAACTGATGCACAGTAGCCTATGCTGTAACATGCACTCGCTCCCTTAAAAAAAAAAAAAAAAAAAGGTAAAAAAACACACACAAATGTTGTGTTTCCATAACAGAGAGCTTCAACACCACTTCAATGTAGAAAACTGATAAAATATCTTGAGTTAATTAACAGTAATACTATGGTGAGAATTTTTTTTTCCGACATGCAAGAAGTAAATCTACTGATTTACTTTACAGCATTAAGACATCTTAAATGTTTACAAAAATTACAGCAAAAGCCAAAATAAATAAAATAAAAAAGTATATGTGCATTCTTTCTTTAAATTACAACTTTTATAACCAATTCAAAGGGCCTCACCCAAAATCTTGCTTATGTTGGAGTTGTGCATATCCGGGAACGCCTGGAGGATCTTGCGCCGCTCATCTTTGGCCCACACCATGAACGCATTCATCGGCCTTTTAATGTGGGGCTCGTTGTTGTTCCGTCCTCGGGACTCCCTGAAGACCCGCGCCTCGTTAGATCCAGCACCTCCTGTTGGCCAACAATAATAGGGTTCGGGTTTATCTGCAGAGCCATTGACTGCCTTGGACCCTGGAAAAGCCAGAGCAGGAACAAGAAGAGAGAGCGAGGCAAGGCATTGATTAAATGACGAGCCAGGTTTAAACTCTCCTTCATCTGCTATCAACGCCTCCATTTTCATCATAAAGAACATTTTTCTAAATGAGCGCTGGGAAAACAAACCCTCCCAGAGGGACGGAGTTTTCTTTTGAGTGGAAAATTTGACTTGAAAGGATTAAGAGCTACAAACTGAATACATTGTCAGTTAACACTGAGCAGTGTTCTTCCACTCTTTCCGGGCTCCATCTGAATCCAGAGGATTAAACCATTTGACTTCTAATGTTTTTTTTGTTGTTGTTTTTTTTTGTTTAGGTGTTTGCTTTTCCAAAGTGCACACTTTTCAGTTTGACATTCAGACCGTCCATAAAAAAGTGCCAGCATAAATAATAAATAGGAGACTTGAGGCAATCTTTATAATAGAAATTCAAAGAGGAAACTTAAACTCTGGTAATTCTTAAATCTTCCTTAAAATATATATATTTTTATACGCACAAATAATTTTTTTCTGTTGTTTTTTTTCCCCCCATTTCTCAGACTTTTTCTTTGCCCTTCGAGTATGCAAACATTCACTCACACAAATAAACCAGACCCACATTAGCGAGGAGAGAGTGTGCCGATTCTGCAAAGTGCTGTTTCTCAATCAGGGCATTCACAATCAGCATAAGAGAGTTTCTCTCAGTATTAAACTGTACATCAGGCTGATAATGATTTCTGTTTGCATGCGTATTTGCTTCCTTTTATATGTAAGATGTGAAAGAATTAAATAAAAGCAGTATGAATATTTAAACAAACAAAAACATGTTGATAAACAAGGCTTGAAAAATAAGACAAAAAAAGAGCCTTCCATATGCTACGATACATCTTTAATGATCTCAGATCTGGAAAAGAAAGCTTGGGATGACTCATGCATATTTCATCATCCACATGTGAAGCCTTCTCATTAAACCATTTCACCAGCAGCCTTGGCACACGTTACCTGGGGTTTGATTTCTATTATTATTTCAGTTTATAAACAAATCAAACTCTTAATGAGTAATCGAGGGCTGTGCGGAGGCATTAATTCAAAATCCACAGAAACTTTGCTCTGTGTTAATCACTGAAGATGTCACTCTGCCATTTTCAACCACAAAATTTTGTTTTCTCTACAAAAACATATACTTTCTATTAAGACAGATGCTTTTCTCACCATTACATGTAGCAGAATAATAATAAGAGTGATGAACAGTACACTGAGTTTCTGCAGTGAGAACAGTCGCAGTGCAAATAATGTGTTTTCACACAGTGACACTGCACATGTTTCTACAAATTTAGGTCCTTGGACTAAAAACTAAACTCTGTAAATATATATTAATAAAATGTTCGTTCTTGATTTCATACTGGTGCTCACAAAAAGTCAAATGTCTCAAATGGTAGCATTTTTTCAGCTAAGCTTGAAAAATGTCAAAAATCATCTGCTCCCAAACTGAGGCACACTTGTAAATAAGTGTTTTAGCACACAGTGAAAGGGCTGTACATCAGGACATTTAAAAGCTAATCCCAAGCTCTGACTGCACTATGTCTGTGTTTGCTTTTGCCTTTTGGAATGCTACAGGCCTTAAAGCCATCACGATTCAAGAATAATACAGTACCCTTGCTGCCACCAAACCCCACAGTACGTTAATTTCATTTAGCATGCACTCACTGTACAGGATGAATTGATTTCACTTTGTTTGCTTTTGACAACCATGTTTATTGTGCAATGAAATGTGGTGTGGCGGAGGGCTGACAGTATCCATCAATGCGGGGCAATCTGCTGACTGCCAGGGCCAGATGAAGGTATTCATTAGCTCAGGAGCGCAGCGCTCACTCAGACACGACAGCCAGTGTCTGCACCCCGGGATCGCTTGCTGTAATTTACGATACCCCCCATGCCATTACTCTATCACTGACACTGATTCAGCAATTTATATACTGGCGTGCATGCATATGGGCAGAGGTGATCTTCTTATGGGGAGGGGTGCAAAACAACTGCCTGCCATCACCTAGTGCCACATCAGTAGTTAGCCAGGAAACCAGCCACATGACTGGGTCCATTGGAGGGAATCCAGATGAGCCATGAATCTTTTACCTTGCAGAGTTGCTCGCTTGGGAAAGTGCCCGTCAGATGTTACAGGAAGTTGCAGATCTGAGCAACAAAAGCAGTTTTGAAACAGTTGATGTTGTGCTATGGCAGCTACGGATATTCAAAGTACCGTAAATCTGCTGTCAGTTAACCCAGGCACCTTTCTTAGATCTTTGACCTGAAATGATAGCTTGAGTTCTGAATTAATGCAGAGCAGACCCAGGCGGTCCAGTTCTTGATGTAGAAACTGGACCGACAAGAACTTGGAAAAAAAACGTGATTTATCAGTTATCTAGTGCTTTTCTTGCATTGCCTGATAAATGGGAAATGGGTGCTCTACTGCTCAGTGCACCATTCTTGCAAGAACTATCAGGGTACTTGTTCCTCATGCAGCCCATCTAAATCAGATACATCCTATGCATCCATATCAGAAGAAATACAATGTTGCAGCATGGAGCTTACTGCAATGTTGTTTCTATTTTATTGGAAACTGTGATACTTCTCTGGCGTTTTGAACATTTTCTCCCAGGAGAGGCGGGACATTTAGGAATCAGTTAGTTAGGTGTTTGATTGTGTAAATAAACACAGATGTTTAGCAGTGACAGGGCCAGGCCCCCTGGGTGGTAACTAGCGAGGAAGCGAAACAGAGGGAGAGCTGCTTAACAGAATTCATTGTGATTCATGAGGCCTGCAGCTCAAGTGTGACAGAATGATATGAGAATCCACTTTTAATTTGTCTCTCCTGGTAGCGCCGCAGACAAGAAGAATGAATTACAGTGTGAAAGCGCAATTGCGTGCATGTGTTTGTGGAGAGGAAAGAAAAAATGAAAAGAGAAAGCAAATAATGAGGAAGCAGAAAAAAAGGCAAAGAATTAGAGGGAGAAAGCAGCGAGGTCCCAAACCCAATCGCACCTGTGAGCTGCAGGCTGAGACTCGACTGTGTATCAAGCTAGAGGGTAGCGCTGCCCTGACTGCCCCCTGTCCTCCGCCTTTTCTCCACCCTACTCATCTTTGTTCTGTCGTCATACATGTGCTGTCACCCAAGAATCTGCTCGAGAGGATGAGCCTCGGTGAACACGCAACCAAATCTAACACCTCCAAGTCAAGGCGTTTAACGCTGACAATGGAGCCTCTCCCTCAGAGCAGGATCAGGCGAGATTAATGGGTTTAGTCAGACAGAACGCAGAGCTTAGTGGCTCTGCCGTAGCCTGAGCTCATGGCATGCTAGTTTAACCGTTACAAATTACAAGTGATGTAAACACGACTTTTTCAGTTTTTAAAATTATTTTTAGCTTCCTAAATTATGCACGCGTTAAGCGTCCGTGCAGGACTTAACAACATATGGCTTGCTTGTTACAACTTGCAGGTGGCAGATTACCACCTGAGAACATAAAAACTGCTCTTGACCTTCTTGATTTACTCAGCTAATATTGCTAAATTGTGTTTTTACCAGCTTTGTGCATCTCAATAATGATATGGTGCACATTCTTTTTCAAAGTTACACGGTGTCAGTCGGATCAAATGAAAAATACCTGTGAAAATCAGTTCTAACCATATTAGCACATGAATATGCTTTCACTTAAACCATCCCACTGTAGCTATGGCTGGGGATTAATAGGGTTGTTGTTTCTTTTGCAACTATATTAGGTTTCTTGACTTTATTACCATGTACTTTGCATCTTCCAATCAAGGGTGATCACCTTTACTGTGCTTCTAAAAAGCTTCCCCAAACCATGATGCTACCACCACTTTTCTTTACATTGAGAATGTGTGTTCAAGATTTTAGCTTCAAACTCCAAACACAGTTTTGCCTGTGTGCAAAGCTCAATTCAGTGGTGTCAAATTCCAAATAACAACTTTGGCATGCAGTCAAATTTATCCTACTAATAATACAATTATTTCATTAAGCTGAGTTAAAGCAGAGGCACATCTAAAGGTTACAGAACACTTAGCATATCATATTAGCATCTGATAAGAGCACTTTCTTTCATGTCCAATGCTTGGGGTATTGTTTTTTATTATCTATCCCTGCATTAAGCTTTGTTACACAACTCTATCTCTGATATCTTTTTTGATCTTTAAAATGCTGTTTGTTCAGGCTTTTTATGTGACACAATTTCTTGATCCCAAGAAAACATTCCAGACTTTTTTTTACAAAGTAATTGTCTTTTGAAGGCAATTGGTTAGCTTGAGGGGAGAAAAGGATGGCTGCGAATGTTTGCCATACAGTTTAGATTTTATTTGTCAAGATTTTTTGACAATTTTGTTTCCATTTTCTTCCACACCACAATTATAATGTACATTGTGTTGGACACATATAATAATTTATAATGTGACAAAATGTGAAAAATCTTAAGAGGAAATAACAGTTTTATTTCCTCTTTCACAACAATCCAGTGCTACCATTCCTCTGATTTAGTGAAAGGCTATTTTAGGCAGAATCCTCTTTTTGTGACATCAGATGTACCTAATGTAACATTTCTCTAAATTCTGTTTCCTTCCTCCACATATTGCTCTAGCTTTTCACAGACCTTGGAGATATGGTCAACTTTAAACAAACACTCTATTCAGTAGAAGAACTTCATGCTTCCACTCATGAATGAATTAACATTCAGAGTGGCCAAGAGTATTAGCTGCTGAATCACATGAGCTGTGTATATTACATTTCTTGCCATACAGAAGCAATCAAGAGCTTCCATAATGGGCACTGGCTGCACACTGCATCTGCTTAGTTCGGTTGTTCCGTCCTGGAGGGAAAGCTGCTGCAGACTAGGGCCTTTCACACCCTATACATTTGTTGGGTGGGACACCCAGTAATTTTCTCTTTGAGGAAACACCAAAGTATATGCGTTGTGTTCTGATCTACTTGGGAAAAAGTGTGTTAAAATGCAG